GGGGGGAGTATACCCAAAAAAAAGAAAGCAAAGAAAAGAAGTCTCTGGGGGTTTTTGATAAACCCAATTAAAATTTTTTTTTGGGTTCCAGGGCAATGAAAAAATTATTTAAAAAAAAAAAAAAAAAAAAAAAAGGTGGATATAGTGGTGCATGCTTTTAATCCCAGTACTCAAGAGGGAAAGGCAGGGGATCTTGGTGAGTTTAATGTCAGCCAAGTCTACTTAGCAAGTTCTAGGTCAGCCAGGTAAGACTCTGTCTTGAAGAAAAACAAAAACTATAAAAGGTGAACAGAGTAACAATACCCGAGGTTGACCTCTGGCTTCCACACATACAATGCTATAACTGTTTTGCTTGTTTTGCTTTGTGGTATTGGAGCTGGATATAACTTTATTTTTTTTTTTTGTCTTTTTGAGATAGGGTCTCCTTGTAGCCCCAGCTGACCTGGAACTCACTATGTAGACCCAGCTGGTCTTGAACTCACAGAGCTCTGCCTGCCTCTGCCTCCCAAATGCTGGGGTTAAAGGCGTGAGCCACCACACCTGGCTGAATATAACTATTATTTTTCCCAATGGGTTAGCAACATACTAGAGAGCTGTCTAGTAGGTAAAAGAATTTTTGTAAGTAATTTTATCATGGCTCTGCAATTGCAGACTTCCATAGGGGAAAGCATGAGAGACGGTTATCAGAAAACAAAACAGAATAATGCCACAAATTTATAACCAAAAACTATTTGCTATGCTTGAGGCAGCAGAAATCTCCAAGGCAGTTGAAATACATAGGTATGTGTGGACATATGTATACACAAATATATTTGTACATGTGTGTATACTTCTTTAACATTTACGATGGGAATGGAATATCAAGGAATGGTTCCTACCCTTGCTTTCATTCTTCACTTAACACTTTAGTACTGACGGAGGCTGCTCAGGGTTAGAAACAGAACAATAGCTCCACCTACTCAAACCCTTACCAAAACAGCTTTACAGGTCCAAAGTATATGTGGAGGAATGTACTAATATCATGCAATTCAAATCCTGAATTTAATTATTCAAAGAAAAATATTGATTCAACTTTGCTTTAGGATAGCCCAGTTCAACATGGTAGCTGTTAATCGTATTTTTTTTTAAGATTTTATTATTTTTATTTTATGTGTATGTGTGTATTGCCTGCATGTAGGTGAGTGCACCTGTGTTGTGCAATGCCCGCGGAGGACAGAAGAGACTGTCAGATTCCCTAGAATTGGAGTTACAGACAGTTATTAGCTGCCATGTGGGTGCTGGGATTTGAACCCAGGTCTTTTGCAAGAACAGTCAGTGTTCTTACCTGCTGAGCCATCTCTCCAGGCCCAGCTGTTAACTGTATTTAACTTCTGAGCATCTGAAGTGTAGGTAATGCAGACAGAATTTTAATAAGTTTAGTTACATTAAGACTTGCGTTTATTTTCTGGAACTTTTCTTCATGAATACTACCTATAAGAGGTTTACCATGAAAGAAAATCAAAAGCCTGGGCTAGCATTACCTGGGATAAAGTTTGGTGTATAAGGAAATGAGAGAGATCAACTCATAGAACTCAAACCTCATTCTTCTCGTGTCTGAAACAAGTTAGCATTGAGTAGCTGAAATATGATTGAGTCTGTGCATTCACACGCACGTGACCAAACTAGTGCTTTTGAGCTTAACAGCAAATTTCCAAAAATCAGTAAGCTGAGAGGACTCAGAGACCCCACTCATCCCCTCCCCTGCCCGACCTAGTCAAGAGCTGTCGTAGGGTTCTGTGTCCCCCCATACTCTGCAGAAGACATCAGAGGAAGAAAGATAAGAGAGGTGCCATTAAAATGTGATCAGGTGGGGTAGGGTCTGACCTCCATCAGTGTAGCAGCTCTGGTCAGAGCAGACTGCCAGAGAGTGCCCTGGCCTCCCTCTGGCAGAAGGGCTGAGAACACAGGGAACTGCCTGAGAGCCCCTGGATCCTGCTTCCACGTGGTGGTGGTGGTGAGCTTCCCCTAATTGTGCCATGGTGGTGAGCGTCCCCTAATTGCACCATACCCATCCCCCTACCTGGGATTTCCTGAGGACCCTCCCAAGGCCCCAGGGCAGATCTGGCTTTGGTAGGCTAAGGCTGAGATTCCAGCAGACAGCCTGAGAGGGTGGGTTTCAACCTCCATTGGTGTAGCGGCTCTGATCTTAGCAGACCTCCAGAGAGTGCTGAGTTCTGGCCTCCCTCTGGCATAGGGGCTGAGAATGCAGGGGACTGCCTGAGAGCTCCCAGATCCTGCCTCCAGGTGGTGAAGGAAGCCTGAGTGTATCTGACTGGAACCTGAATTTGGCTTCTGTGGGTACCCCTGAATAGCTACCTGAAGCCACCAGTTCCCTCTAAATTAAACCTGAGAGAACCTGAACCCTGGACCAACCAGCTTTACATAACCAATAAAGAAAGGATCTAGGAACCCAGATAATACAAACAGAAGCATACTTGAACTTAATTCTCATATCAGAATCATAAATAACTAAAGAAATTTGCATGCCAAAATCACAATGAAAGAATAAAATGGAAAGCCAAAACACTATGTTCCCACCAAACTCCACCAATCCTATAGAAGAGTTTTACAAGGAGAACCCCTTAGAGATAACCCAGGACGCTAAATTTAAAAGAACAATCATAAACATGATCAAGGAATTCAACAAATTTAAAGAACACATGAACAAACAAATCAAAGAACTAAAAGAAGATAGGGATAAACTTTTAAATGAATTAAAAAAGAGAAACTGACGAAAACTCAGGCAGAAATGAAGAAGGAAGTGCAAAACTCAATAAGCCAACTTGAAACGACAGGGGAAAACCTCACTGCTAGAATGAATGAAATGGAAAACAGAATATCAACACTGGAGGATAAAGTTGAAGAACTGGACCACTCAAGCAAAGATTATGGAAAATTTTAAAAAACACAGGAATGGAATATGCAAGAGATGTGGGACACCATGTAAAGACCAAATCTATGGATCATAAGAACAGAGGAAGGAGAAGAGTTTCAGGTTAATGGTACTGACCAGATCTTAAACATGATTGTAGAAGAAAATTTCCCAAAATTAAGGAAAGACATCCCCATACAGTACAGGAAGCACATAGAACACCAAATAGACAGGATCAGAAAAGAAACTCCCCATGACATATCATAGTAAAAACACTAAATGTACAGAACAAAGAGAGAATACTGAAAGCAGCAAAAGAAAAACAAGTCACATACAAAGGAAAGCCCATCAGAATTACAGCTGATTTATCAATGCAGGCTATGAAAGCCAGAAGGTCCTGGACCAAGGTATTTCCAGTTCTAAATGACCAGAGATGCCAACCCAGAATACTTTACCCAGCAAAAATGTCTATTGTAGTAGAGGGGGAAAGAAAACTCTTCCATGACACAAAAAGCCTGAAAGAAAACATGTCCACAAAACCAGCCCTTCAAAGAATACTCGAAGCAATACAGAGAGCAGAGAGAGAAACAACTATACCCCAGGGGCAAAGGAAGAAAATAAATAAAGGTATAATCTAGGAAACACAAAATTGCAGAGAACACAAACAGCAATTAAAATGATGGCAACCAATACACATCTTTCAATAATAACCTTAAATATCAATGGACTGAACTCCCCAGTCAAAAGACACAGGCTAAGTGAATGGATTAAGAAACAAAATCCATCTCTTTGCTGTCTGCAAGAAACCCATCTCACCTTCAAGGACAGGCACTACATTATCAAAATGCTTCTGTTCATTCGTTTTCACTATTATAATACACATTGTTAGAACAACTGTTCATTCTACAGAAATCAAGCACTTAGCTATAGAACCGAGACATATTTTCCTAAAGGAAAGAGACTGAAAGTCATGGCTATTCTCTTTTTCATAGAATTCGTACTAGACGGGTTTTTACCCCAAAATGCTTCTGTTCATTTTTTTCACTATTATAAACACATTGTTAGAACTAGTGTCCTTCTACAGAAAGCAAACACAAAGATACACAACGGACCCACTGTCTCCATTAGACAGGTCAACTGGACAAAGAATAAACAGAGATATCTGAATTAAATGACAGCATATATCAAATGGACCTAACAGACATCTTTTGAATATTCCACCCAACCACCAAAGAGTATACTTTTTACTGAGCAGCCCATAGAACTTTTTCAAAAACTGACCACATAACAAACCTCAACAAATACAAAACAACTGAAATGATTCCATGCATTCTATCAGACCACAATGCAATAAACCTCAAAATCACTGGACAAAGCCCTAGTCACTACACGAACTTGTGGCAACTGAACACCACACTGGTAAACAATGAGTTGGTCAAAGGAGAAATTAAGAAAGAAATAAAAGAAATCCTGGAATTCAACGAAAAGAACAATACAACACAACACAACTCTGGGACACATTAAAAGCAGTAGTAAGAGGAAAGTTTATAGCTCTAAGTGCCTACATTAAAAACTTAGAAAGAGCCCAAATAAATGACCTAACACTGCAACATAGTGCTTGAAACTCTTCCTAGAGCAGTAAGACAGGAGAAGGAAATTAAAGGAGTACTAATTAGAAAAGAAGAGGTCAAACTATCACTTTTTGCAGATGATATGATACGACACCTAAGAGATCCCAAGAGTTCCACCAGAAAACTCCTAGAACTGATCAACACTTTCAGTATAGTGGCAGGTTATAAAATCAATCTATAGGGGCTGGAGAGATTGCTCAGGGGTTAAGAACACTGGTTGTTCTTGCAGAAGACCCAGGTTCAAATCCCAGCACTCAAATGGGAGCTAACAACTGTCTGTAACTCCAGTCCCAGAGGATCCGACAGCCTCTTCTGACCTCTGCAGGCATTGCACGACACGGGTGCACTTACCTACATGCAGGCAATACACACCTACACATAAAATAAAAATAATAATATAAAAAATCTATAAAAATCAGTAGCCTTTCTAT